TTTATTTTTTTAGAGTGAATTCCCAAAATTGTCCTTTTAAATAAGGTGCTTTCCCAAATCAATCCTCAATAAGTAATAACTACATATATGGTACTTCACAATTGAGATATTTTCCCTTGAAGTCCTCAATAAACAATAATTACATACATGGTACTTTATATTTGAGATTTTTCCCACGATAGCCCTCTGACATTTGGGGTAATATTATAATTATAACCTCAAGAAGGGTGATTTAGAAAAAAAATAATTAGAAAAAACTCTTTTCACAACTTTCTCATAGTTTAGATGATGAAAAATACCAAAATAAACTCCCTCCATTTCACAAAATATTTGTTCCCTAACTTTTTGTGCATTCCACAAAACACTTCTAGTGATATTATAATTATAACCTCAAGAAGGGCGATTTGGGAAAAAACTAATTGGAAAAGACTATTTTCAGAACTTCCTCATAGTTTAGATAATGAAAAATACCAAAATATACTCCCTCCATTTCACCAAACAATCATGCCCTAACTTTTTTTGCATTCCACAAAACACTTCTACCCCACCTAAAATGTATAAAATACCCTCAAAACAACTTCTACCCGCAATAAAGGAGAAATTGGGAGCATTCACGAGAGGTGGAGTAAAAGTGTTTTGTGGAATGCGTAAAAAGTTAGGATGGAACTATTTTGTGAAACAGAGGAAGTACTACATTAAATAGTCATTTGATAGACATAAATTAGAGAGGACTACCAAGGGAATAAATGTCAATTATAAAGTACCACGTAGGTAATTATTGATTATTGAGAACTCATTTAGGAAAACAAGTAGAGGACCATTTTGGGAATGCACTCTATATTTTATTTCAATATTAATTTTTAAATAAACTAATTTTTAAAAAGTGTGGTTTTACTTCATTGACAATGTTGTGCCTTTTGGCTTGAATGGATTTAAGTTTTATACCTACAATCAAATAAATTGAATTGAAAATAAAGTCAGTCAAGCCTCGTAAACCACAGTGGAAAATTCAACTCTAGACGGAGGGAGAACTTCGTATTACAATACAGTGTACCTTTGATAACTTAACTTTATACTCCGTGCAAAACCTTTGCAGACCCTGAGAAGAAGAGCCGGTGTTAAGTCAAGTTAACAGTGTTAACTTGCAATTGCGTTACACGACTACACCCAATCCAAGGATGCAAAGTGTGAACCTTTAATGAAAAATCAAATCAAGAAACAAGAGGGGCGTGTGCAGAACTCTCTAGCACAAGTATAATCACTTACCTCACCAGCATTAAAAATATATCTTTGGTGATCAAAGAAAAGTAGGACTGAAGATGATGCATCATGAGTATCCATTCCATTGCCCAGGATCTGCAATCCATAATAGAAATCATACAAAAGCCGAGAAGAATAACACATGAACCGAAAATTGGACTACCTTCTACTCTTCTAGCCACATCGGAGCACAAAATGTTTCCCTCCAATCTAGAATAACGCAATACAAATGAAAAGCGACAACTTCCATACTTTCACTATACGTACATACATACATATACACACACACACACACACATATATATATATACATATATACATACATATATATAATGCACTAAATCTACTAGGTCACTTATGTGTGTATGTAAATGCGACCTTCAAATATTTCTTACTAATGTAAGTGTTGTGAACTAAAAACTCCAACTTTGGAGTCACTGACTGATCAACAACAGATACTCTGCATGCCCTTGTATGAGGTGTTATAATATAAAAGCTTTTCCTAGACCTAGAAATTCACCCAGACAATGGGTCGTGTTAGAATTTTAAAAACTTTTAGTGTGCCCTGCAAGCCCGGTCGAGAGAATGGACGAAGAAACTGATATGCAAATTCCTATTTGATGCAATGCTCCCAACAATTGAGAAAAATCTGAGACTATGTGAAACATCGATGCAGGTGGTAAGAGCAACGGAGAAGACGACAACTTAGGAGTTCAATGAGAGTGACCCGACCCGGATAGGTGCATACCTGGATGAACGCATTTGTACTGCGGCTGATCCGATCGGCCCTAGAGCACTTCTTAAGAGGGAGATCCTTCTTCAGCACGCCCCCCTTCCTCTTGAGCTTCGTTTCCTCCATGCGAGCTCTATTCCAAGTGCCGCCGAGACGACCCACTGAGTCCGAGGTACACCGGTTGAGCAGACTCGCGATGCAATTCGAGGGTCGTTTTCCGTGGGAAAGTTGTTCCGGAATGGGAATATGGCGATTGGTGAACAATAAAGGAAAAAAATAAAAAGGCAGTCACCCACAATCAATGCTATGCACGCGCGGGGCATTGGGTTTTTTGTGAGAACTTTTAAAATTCTAAATTACTCCATCCATTTGACCCTCTTTGTCCACTTACCTTTTGGCACACCATCCAATGCACTTCTTTAATTCATTTTATCTTGTAATTTGTATATTAAAAAATTATAGAAATTATATATTAATAATCTATATGTTAAGACAAATTAAACAAGATCACACATTACTATATTTAGGCTTACACATTGAGAGAATTTGATGAGTCAAAGTGCTTAGATGAACAGTTCCAAAAGTCAAAAGTGGATAAAGAGTGTGGGACGGAGGTAGTAAATCTGATCTAATTTAATGTAATTAAATCTAAATTTGATTCAAATAACACTTATTATTATTACAAAAAAAATAATAGGTTTAAAGTATTACAATATATATATATATATATATATATATATATATATATATATATATATATCGGTAAGTCTAAAATGACACCGGTGCTACTGGTCTCATTTGCTTACACCAGTTCGTTTGGGGTACTTACGATGCTTCGTTTGTAAAAACGACGGTTTCTACCCCCTAACCCTCCCCCTAAACCCCCCACCCCATCTCCACCCCAGCCCCCCTCCCGCCCCCCTCCCTACCCTGGCAGTACTGGCTGTACTGGCAACTGGCAAAGGTACTTNATGAACTTGGAGGCCACAAGAGTCTCGTTGAGGAAGGAGGCATCCTTGGGAATCTCCAAATAGAGCACACAATAGTGCTTCCTCGGCAACGATTCCGAATGCTCTGTCGCAAACGATGCTGGATCAGACGAATAGGAAACCACGATGGGGACATCATTGGGATTGGGAACACGAAGAGGCTCGACCGACATCCCTTCAAGTTGCGGAGGGGGTGTGGTGCTCAGGTCTTCTTGGACTCGGGCGAATCTGACGAAGCTTCCTTTGCTTTTCTCCTCTTCTCGAGGAGGCTGAAATGATAAGCAGCGCCAGAAATCATTTCTAGAAAAAAAAGAGAGAAAGAAAATCAGTCACGAAGAGATGTGACATTAATAAAAACTCAAGGAAGATCGAGCACCCGACCATGCTCATTGTAAGATGACTGGGTTTGTTCTTCTAGAAGGACGGGTTCGACATCAGAGGAATTCTTGAAATAAAAGTTTTGGTTTTGATAATCATGGTCGAAGTTCCAAAAGAAATACGTGTATCTGGCTAACTTATGTACTCGCTCGTCCATTTCCAACGAGGCTGATAAACTACACCACCCATATTAGGGAACACTCCCACTCGCCTCGAAATCTCGCATCAGGGAGTGGGGGACTCTTGATGTATATATGGGCTTAGCCCCCCAGGTCCACAACCCAGTATGGAAAGGCTCAACTCGGCTCATTACACCCTCGGTTGACCTTTACCCATGGGCCTGGTACTGAATCCCGCATTCTCGGTAGCCATCTTACTCGACTGATGGTCTTACTCGAATGGCCTTACCCCCTTGGCGCATCGTGTCATGGGTAAAAGTCAACTTATGGGGAACTGCAAATTTCAGGGGCCAGAACGGGAAGACGTCATCAGAGGGTGACTCGTCCTTGGGCACGACCAAATTTAGTTAGGGATAAAGTGATGTATCAAAGGAATGAGACAAATGTACTTAAGAGGCCCATTCGCCTCTTTAACTAATGAAAAACGGGTACCCAACCCAATATCGGGTGTATAAAGACCCTTCCACAAGAGGGAAGGGGATCGGGTATTGAGTTAATTAGTTCATATTACAAGCTTCTTGTTATAGTCCATACTACCCCCACTCCTTAGAATCCATCAAATAATACTAATAACAACAACAATAATAATAATACGTAGTAATTGTTATTATTATTTTAATTTGAATTAGATTAGATCAGTTCATATCTATTCAGATCACACCAGATCAATTTATATTCGATCAGATTAGATTCATTTAGATCTAATGAGATCAGCCTTAAAAAGTAGAGTTTAAATCATATCAGCAAAAGATAACGCAACCCAAGACTATGTGTTATTGTGTCATGATCGTCGCTCGTGGCCCCATCACGCTTGGTCACGGAATGACCACCACATCACAGAGACTTGACCGACGGTGTGACTCCTTGATGTGATAGCCACCCCGACGTTGCCCAACAATTTTTTAAATCTCCACTAATCAAAATTTAACACGCATTTACCACATCACTTTTTTGTCACTTCAATTTCAAGCTCTATAGTGCATTTATTTTTACTCACACTCAGCCATTCAAGAGACGAGTCTAATTGACACCCATCAAGCCCCACCACAATACATAGTCTAGTCTAATAGTGATTCAATCTCGGGCCTCCCTCCGCTCCGTGGAAGTGGAAGTGCAATATATACAGTACAATCAGTTGTACAATGTTTCATGTACATTCACATGAATACTCATTCTCAATTAACTGAATATTCATTTTTGAGCTACTGAATACTCATTTTCTTCCAAAATTCAGTTATACTCGAAAATGAATATTAAATTAATAAAAAATGAGTATATTCATGTGTATGTAGTGAAAATAACCTTTCACTGTAGAGTAATTTTTCACTGGGTGGTAAGTGGATATTTTTTTTTATACAAAAAGTACAATTTTTTTTTACGATATCAATGCAGTAAAATCCATAAAAGCAAGCATGAAATTTGGAATAGTAAAAATTATAGGTACTCTTGTGGAACTAGTCACCCCTTCCCATTTATGGCTTTATGCTCTAGCAGGGGCGGGTCTCCGGTTGCAGTTCTTAGCTATATCCGGCCCTCTGCAATATTTGCATTTGTTCCATCTGCCGTTCACATACTCAGATCACACTCCCCTTGAACGGTTAATCTTCCTATCTTGGATTCCTGTATTCTTTTTTATCTTATTTTTTTATTTTTACAGTCATTCATATCCATATTTCCCGAAAATTCTCTCTCACTCTCTCCGATTCCAAACAAAATCCTTCCAGTCGGCCACGCCCCAACTCCGATCCACCAACGCCGCCTCGCCTCTCTGCATCTTCACCAAACTCGGAACTTCGGAAGTAGGTCGTTGTTCTTCTTTTTCTTCTTCTCAGTATTCTATCGATCAATTTCTTGATCCTTTTTTGTAAAGTGCAAACCCTAAACCACTCATTATTTCATTTTTTTGAGTACATCATTGTGTGGATCATATGAGTAAATGCTACAATAGTATAGACCAATACACAGATGTTTATTGATCACAATGTTTGTGTAGATAGATATATTGGCTACATTGAAATTAGGTGTTTCCTCCGTCAGATTTTATGCTGCTCACTTTGATTGAGCACAAAGGTTAAGCAAATGAAAAATGAGTGGTCGAGATTTATGCAAAAAAGAAAGAAACAACGCAAACCACACAAATAGAAATGGGAAAGAAAATTACAGCGAACCAGAAAAGAAAACCGAGAATATAACTTGGGACAACGTAGTATATTTAATAACTTTATAAATTGCACAAAAAATAATGAGATACAAGGGAGTTCTATTACTAGAAAACATGAATATTATAAAAATGTAAAAATTATAAAAACAAGTATATTTATCTAACTTTATTCTTGACATAAAGCAAATTTTATTTGTATATACATTTCAAATCAATAATTGATCCCTAAAGGTTCTACTAGAAAAAATAAATGTTAAAAAGTAGTTATAGATATCTAACCTCTTTTGCCACTCGACGCCACATTTGAGAGAACTTTTCATGTTCAAACACATCGTATTGAACTCCATTAGCTTAGCTACTTGGGTAGAATAGATCTCTATTCCGAAACTTGTATTGTGTCTCAATCTTTGCTATGGAGTGAGGGAATCAAAGGAAACAATGTATGAGGGGTCTAACAAAAACAGTAGGACAACAACCCGGTATGGCAATATCATCCCAATTCCGTTAGGGTATAGGGAGTCAAGATGTAAATATAGAGAGGCAGTTTCTGTTAGACCCTAAATTAAATGCACTGCTGCATTTATGTACCAAAACATCATAGAAAGTAAGAAGCAAGAGAAGTTTAATGTGCCATTTTTTATTTAGTCCATTATGTGTTTGAAACTAAAACATTGTCAATGTTGACTCTTTTAGCTCCATTGGCAATGGACAGGGTCTAACAGAAATAACCTCTCTATTTACAGTTGTGTATATTTTGATTCCCTAGACCGCCAATGGAGTTGTGATTGTATTAGGTTTGTTGTTGTTTTGTGTTGTTATTCATTTGTATTGTAAGCTAATCAAAACGGGAAGAAGTGTCTAAAGATGGGTTGGCTACAAGCTGCTGTTTGGGATGAGGTAGGCCAAAGGAGGCACTTTTGACTTTGTTTGGGAAACAAAAATAATGAGTGCAAGTTGTGCAACTGAGGTAGATAGAGGCAAGACCACAAGACTCAAGAGTTACCTTATAATATTAATTTTTTGATACCTTTAACCGAGATAGCTACCATTACATCCTATGATATTACTAGTTACTTGCTACCTCTTTTGAGCAATTTTTAATGCACACCTACCATAGTTTTCCTCATAACTAGCCAAATAACTTGTTATGAAATAACACCTCCCTAGAATAAGTTATATTAACTACCTCTAGTTAAATTCATTTGCCTACCTTAAATTGACCTCTTCCTGCAGCAGCAACAACCCAGTAAGGTCTCACAAGTCACAAGGGAGGTCCGGAGAGGGTAGGTGTTTGACTCCATCCCAAACATACAGAAAACTTTAAGTCATCCCTTGATATCAAGATTTAATTTATGACTCATTTGGCACGGTATTAATGAGCACTAAATGTTAGAACTATACATCCTCTTTTTTTATTTTATTTTTTATATTCCGAGAATCCGAGTTCAGAATCTTCTTTGCTCTAGCAATAGCTTCCCGCCTTCCCTGAAAGTAATCTTTAGCTATTATATTCAGATGGATTTTGACTAAGCTCTTTTTTATAACTCAGCCTGTGCAGACACTCACAAGGCGAGTGATCTTCCTCCTCCATCCATGGCAGCCTCCAAGCTCCAAGCTCTGTGGAATCATCCCGCCGGACCTAAGACCAGTGAGTTACTTTCCTGTAGAACTAAGTGAACAAGTGATTAATCCCCTGCGCCTTTGCGCCCCAGACACCTTAAGGCGTAAGACTCATTTTAGTCAACGGAGACTTAAGATTTATGGGCTTTTCTTTGCACCCAACGTCCAAGCCTCACACACCTTTTCAAATCATGCTTCCTATATATGTGTTCATCATATTCTTTGATTAGGAATATCTCTGGGAGTTAAGCTGATTTACGTTCTACTATGATGTTATTTTAGTTCATTTCTGGGCACCAACCTTTAAGTGGGGTATTAGCATAGCGAACATTGCTGATTTTGCTAAACCCCCAGAGAATCTCTCCTATCCCCAGCAAATAGGTATGTCCCTCTATTTTCTCTCTTAAACATCACCATCCTCATCTGGCTACACTGGCATGTGATTGGGCTTTGAAGCATCTTTTTTCTGGTTTCTGATAGAAACAAAGTAAAGCTAATGCTTTTTATAATCCATGCAGCGGTTACTGCCACTGGAATTATCTGGTCACGCTATAGCACTGTAATTACACCTGTAAGTTCCTGTATGATGTTTAAAACCTAATGTTGAACTGCATCGTTTTCATATGAAAAAATGTAGCTTATAATAGAAAACCAAATGACAAAGAAACAAGGTATTGTCTAAAAATTTGCAGCAGTTGAGAAACAAACGCCAACTGCCGAAAATCTGCCAAGTTCTATGGAGCCAGTCAGCCAGATGTCAATAATTCATGAAGGACATGTTACTTTTTTTATTCTTTTGGTTCAGTAAATGGGAAAATATGTATTGATTGGTAGCATGCATTTTAAGTTGTACTGTTAGCTCAAGTTTACTAGGTCTAGCTTACTTTTGTGCAGCTAAGATCTGAAACAGGTTATAAATGCTCATATTTGGTTAGTTCTGTTCTATGACTATAGAAATTGCAGGATTTCTTGTTTGAAACTAACATTGTATCTATATCTTATTATCTTTCAATTAGTCGGCTACTATTTGATCTCAGCCTCTGTTTTTAGCGCATTTAAATACACCTGGGTAGAAAACAATATGCTTTGATGTACTCACGTAGTCATGTACATGACATATCTTAGGCGTATTCATTCTTATTTACTATGAGTATTTACTATCAATACCAAGACAACTGCCCCATTTCTTTCTACCTGTCTGCTGTGTATTTTATTCTCATTTGTGAGCTGTTATGTGCCAGCTTTTCCTTTCATTCATATTTGATCTTCTCACTGTGTTTGAGTCTATTCTGAAATAAATTCCATTTCAGCTACATTTATCGCATGTTTGGGAAGTTTAATTTGGATTTCAAGTTCAGATTTGACCCATTGGATTTGGATTTGGGCCAAATTGCTCTAATTTCCATCAAAGCTCAATTTCAAATGCATGCACTCCCCCTTGTAATTTGAAATCCAAGATTTCAAATTTTAGAATTTAAGTCCAAGAATTCGAATTCATTCATAGTTTTCGAACACTACCTTATATATGTGTATTTTTGTAACACTCTGCAAGTATGACTGTGTTAGGCCTATTGTACATATTTGATCTATTTTTACTGTGCCCTTTCTGTTTTCTTGCATGAATGAAGCATGATCCTTCATCTACTAATGATATGCTCTCTATTACCACTAAGAAGAAAGCTGAAAATGGTTCCTATGAACCTATCTGTGCTCATTAAATACATTCTGGATTGCCTATTGTGTTGCTGTGTATTTTACGTATGTGGCATTCTGGCCCTTGCCTCTTGCATTTGGTTTGCTACAGTGCTTCACTTGTTCCCATTTGGGACTAATCTTTGATGATCTGATTCTGAACTGCAGAAAAACTGGAACCTATTTAGTGTAAATGTGGCCATGGCAGGTACTGGCATCTACCAACTTACTCGTAAAATAAGGTATGCCATTTTCTTTGATCACACAGTGCCCTTTTATTTTTATATCGTGTGTGGGTTATGGGAAAAAGACTTAAGTAGGAGTAAAACAGTGAAAATATACCAAAATAGGAGTTCCATATTTTTATTCTCTAAATAAGAGTTAAAATGCATATACAGTTCCAATCATGACCATATACAGTACCAAAAAGTATTGTGAAATATCCATATACAGTGCCACATAACCACAATGCAAACTTTTATTTTGGGGATAAAAATATGGAGCTCCTATTTTGGTACTTTCTCTATGTTTTACTCCTATTTAGGATGACTCCTCGTGGGTTTTATATGGCATTGGACTCACTCTTATAATGTTTTTTGGGGGTTTAGATATTTGTTTTAATTAGTACCTAACTGGCTGAAATGAAGCGAAACAACGTCTTTACATTTAGTTTTAGATATTTATTATTATTTATTTAGGTTCAGTTTGATAATGTTTTGTTTTCAGTTCATTTTTTTTATCACTTTTCTGAAAATAGGAATATGAAAATGTGTTTCAACAGTAGAATTTTTGTTTTCGAACTCTTCAAACAAAAACACTTTTTTTTGGGGAATTTTGGAAAATGAATGACCAAAATGTGTTTATGACTTAGTGTTTATATAAAAATTGTACAGCATCTGTTTTCATAAGAAATAATGCTACCTCCACCCCAAAAATTAATTATTGTTATTAATAGTGAAACAAGCATTGCAAACATACTCTTTTTTTTCTGGGACGTCACGAGTTTAAACTACATATACACAAGACCTACCACACATTCTTGTTTTAAAAATGATCAAAATCAAACCAAGCACAATTTCTTTTTTGAAACCATAAAACATGGCACCTTAGGGCTTGTTTGGGGAGGTTGCCAGTTTATAAAGTTTTTTGGCTTAACGATTGATGAACATTCTTATACTAATCATTTCAATTTTTAAAAACTGGACAGGGCATTACCAAATAAACCCAGAGAACATTTCAAATATATTTCTTGCTAATCTAGCAGAAATCTCATTAAAAATGGTTTTACCCAGTCAAACTTAGTAAATGCAACCATAGAGTGACTGAAATATATTTCTTGCAACACTTGAAAAAATGGTTTACCCAGCCAAACTTCAATAAAGTGACATGTACCTTCATCCTTTGAAGATGAAAAACTACTCAGCTCCATTTCTAAGAGACTAATATACACAGCATTGTTTTATATTCTTCTAGGCATGATTATTTTGATGTAGAGCAAGCTGCCATAGCAAAAGAATGATGCCCTTTATCTTTGAGGCCACTCTGCCTCACAACTGTACTTCAGTTCAAGTGCCCTAATCTTTCCCCATCAACATATACATTTGGATTGGATTTTGTATGTTATGTATTTCATCATAACATTTAGTGCATAAAGGCTATTTTTCTTCTGAATGGCCATGTTTCGTCCGTGTTTTAGCAAAACCATCTACAGTGCCCTATCAAGAGTTTTTCTCGGTTCTTTACAGGCTCGATCATTTAGTTATTGTTATTTCGACATTTGTTTTCTCATTTTGATTGCAACAATGTTTATACTCATATAGAGCATTTTTACCCAAGGGCAGTATTGGAAAGCCAATAGTCGTTTTTACTTTTCTTAATTTCTGTCTAGTCAAATGGGAAGTCGTTTCAAACATCCATATGTTGAAACAACATTTTTAAAACTATTTTTGTGGTTATAATGCAATAATTTAAAAATCCATTTGTCCTAATGTAGTTATCTATTTTTTTAAAATACCTCAAATCTTTAGGAAAAATGGCAAACTATTCATCTGTCTAAAAATAAACATTTTTTTCTTGCATGTGGCCATCATATTTTTTATTTTTAATTTTTAGTTAAATAAATAAATTTATTGTTTCTTTATTCGTGGAAACAGTGTAGGCTATTTTGTACTCCCGACTTTCTGTCTTCATTGAAGTTGTCTATTGTTCAAATAGTTAAACTTTAATCACATTTTTATCCATTTTTATGACTTACTTAATACGGAGTAAAATAATATAGTCTTCTTATTTCTAGTTTAATATTAAAAAAATTTATTTACTTTTCAAATATACTCTCTCTGTCTCGGAATTATCTTCAAGATTGTTTTCTCTTGGTCAAAAGTTTCTAACTTTGATCATAAAATATGAAAAAAAAAATTAAGTTATGATATAAATTTAATATTAATAAATTCATTTTACAATAAAATTTAAAATTTCATATTTTTATAATATAAAATTTTATATGAATAAAGATATTAGTGATCAAAGTAGTATATTGCGGATCGTGAAAAAACAAAAAAAGGAAAAAAATTATAAGACGGAGGGAGTAAAATTTATTTTTTAATTCTATACTAATTTTTAAATAAATTGAATTGAAATAAATTCTCCTTGTGTCATTAGCACTTATCATTCCTAATAGAGAATGTTAAAGACACATATAATTCTTACAAAGTTTACAAATTTTTTATATTAAGTTTTCACTAGGGATGTACGTAAACCAATCAAATATTTGTGAACTTTTTTATTATTCTGTTTGTATCTAGGGATGTACATAAACCAATCAAATATTTTAAGTTCGATTCGCCATTCATATCGAATATAATAATTTTTATTCGCATTATTGAAATACAAATTCGAATTCAAATATTAAACAAATATAAATAGAGATATATTTGATTTGTTGATATTCGACTCAATTCGTTTACAATACTTGTTTGTGTTTATAGCACTTGTCACTCCCAATAGAGAAATGTTGAAGTCACAAACACAATTGTCACAAAATTTATAAGTTTTTTATATTTGCAATTAAAAAAGGTGTTTGCAATAAAAAAAAATAAGATTTTAAAAGTAAAATGTATAGGTTTAAAGTTTATAATCACCTATATATATTCGTTCAACATTTAGCCAATGCAAACATTCAGAGCTTTTGATGTACTGGATGGGATGATCAATGCGTGATAAGCCGAGCGTGAATGCCGGTACGGCCTGCTTGCCGAGCCAGTGGGCTTTCTCAGTGAGTTTCACTTGAACTTCAACCATCCTTTCTATTAAACGGATCAATTTCGAGAATCAATTTCTCATTCTTCCGTTTACTATTTTTAGCATATAATATATTAAGATGTTTGTCTCACTTGGTAGAATATATTTGCACTACTAATTAAATCCAAACTTGGTCTATTTAATGTTTATCAAATGCCAAAAATTCCAATGGTTAATTAAGAAGAGGTAAATAAAACCCTAAACATAGAGAATAAGATATGTCTCTAGTCCTAACAAAGATCTTTACGCAATGTATAAGACATCATATGCTGCCTTTTCTAAGAGTTGAACCCGGACACAACGTCATTCGACATCCTAATAAATCACTTGAGCTACATCTTCAAGTCTCACTTTATTGTTTTTAGAAGATGCTAGAGGCCGGGATATGGTGTTTGGCATGTAAGAGTGAATTTTGCTTTTTGAGCATGTTTAATGTTCTTAAAAGTTGAAATAAAGAAAAAATGTTGTTTGCAATTAAAAATAATAGTTTTTTAAAATAAAATGTGATAGACCTTCTGCTCCAATGATAAATAAATAAGGAGAAATGGGATCCCCTTGTCGAACACCCCTCCCAAGAACAATGGGGCAAAGGCATTTATCCCCATGTCGAATTGTGTAAGACACTGAATTTGCACAACTTAACAAAAGTTGTTTTTTATCTATACACATGTGATTGTTTTTTACGTATAGAGAATTAATGGGTTTCCACAAGTTCAATCAAAGTTTTGTGTTCTTTAATATACAAATTGAACTCCTTTGAAAGTAAAATTATCCCTAGCATTTACAATAGGAGGGAAACACCCTGCTCGGAGGACGGGGCCAGCGCCAGGCACCCATTGCAGATCGGAAGTTGCATCTGGCACTGAGGCGGAAGTTATATTTATGGAGCTAGTTTCATCTGGTACTCATTGCAGGTCAGAAGTTATATATATGAAGCTAGTATTTTGTTTAGCTTTTAACATGTACCATAAAAAGGACGACATTTGGAGGGTTGATGAATACTTGATGGACTACTTACGGACTTTTGAAAGTTAAAGGACTGAATTTGAAAGTTGTTGAATACTTGAAAGACTATTTATGAACTTTTGAAATTTAAAAAACCAATCGTGCCACAGCTCACAAAATTGAAGGACCAATGATGAATTTTACCCCAAGTTTTAATTAGGCTCAAACGGTGCACACAGCACATCCACATCGAGCTAAACTTCCAATTGTTTCTTACTTCTTACATCCCAATACTAAAGCCACAATCACTATTCATCTTCCATTTTTTATTTTCGTTAATCATTAATTAAATAGTAAACTCTCAAAACAATCTTTTCTAATAAGGTGTTTTTCTCAAACTAGTTTTCAATAATTACCAACATGGTCCTTTGTAATTGAGACGTATTTTCTAAATAATTCTCAATCAAAAATGTCTATTAAATAATAGTTAAATAGAGAATATTTTTATATTTTTCATCATTTAAACTATGAATAAGTCTTCAACATAGTCTTGTCAAATTAAGTAGATGGCTGCTAAAGGAACAGACTCACCCCTAGGAGGCTCATGGACTCCATTTCTGGAAAATTTTTACTTAGAAATTATGAGTTTAGAAAAAATACTTAACTACTCCGTATAAAAAAGCATTTTGAAAATATAGAAAATAAAAGTCTTCTTTTTAGGACGAAGTGAGTATATACATCACTTCTAAATTTGTGCTATTATTTTAAAAAAATTGAATGTAAAATTAATACATTCAACCATTTGTGAGTTGTGACTTCAGTTATACAACTTGGGAAGTATACAAGTTTAAAAAGAGGAAATTTTAACTGCATATGAAACACTAATGAGATGATTTATTTTAAAGCATCTTTTTTTTACATGGGTAACATTGTGTACATCTTGACCCTCAAAAGTCAAAACCCAACATTGGGTTTGAGATTATACCGGGTTTTGTTATTTTTCCACCTCATTTTCACCGTCCCGAAATAATCTAAACTTGATAATCTTATGAAGCTGAGTTATCGGCCTTACTTGCTTGCTTGACGTTGGCTTAGGATCTGCTAAACATTTTCCTGATATAATGTTAGCTTTGGATGAGCCATTTTCTTCATGAACCATTGCAGATTCATCTGCAAAAGAGAGCTTTTATTACAACAATTGATGAAAATTCACAGGTTCAGTAGACTTTACTCTGTATATAACAAATTTCAGTCAGAAGGCTCACCACTTTCACCAAACACAAGGCATGTCCCAATAGTGTCCACATATTCTCCAACCTGTGAAAAGAGAATAAAAAAAGGGAATTGTGCGATCAAAAATATACTCCATAAAATATCATTCAACCGTGATATATGACGAAGAGAATGAAGCTATAAAAAGGCAAGTAGAAGGGGCCGTATTATTGGGTTACACCCCTCAATTACGGCTCTCCTTGGTCGCTAGGAGATCTTGAATTAGAGTCACTAAAGTGGGGGAGGGGACAGGATTTTCCCAAATTGCTTATACTTTAACCCCTAGTGTTATCCCTTCATGGGGTAAATTGTGGATGTCTTGCCGCTTCCAAAAGTGTTATGGGGGGAAACCAGACCTAATGCTAACCTAATGTTGAGTAAGGGTCGTACGAGGTCAATCCCAAGGGACTAAGGACTAAGGGTTGGGTCTTATGGGCTTTTGATTAGTACAACAAAGTCTGAGGGCCTTTTTTTAATGTTATTGACTCTATTACAAGGTAGTATCTGTTCATACTATTCTCAACCTAATGACGCACAAAGAGCCAATGCTTTTGCCTCCGTTGGGGCTCGAACCTGGGTGAACTTCCCCATGAATCCTGGGGAGTGGGCTTCCTACCACTCAAGCCAGGAGAGTTCCAAAGTCCGGGAGCCTAATGTATGAGAAAATGGAGCTATGCAATGCTGACTAATTCTAATTCCTAAGTGGAACACATTACTATTTAAGCAAAATAATATCATTCTGCAATACTATGGAGACGAGATTGTTCCATATTGAAGGAATATATGGTGTATAACAACATAAAATTGTAAATGTTCAAAAACTTTTCCCTAGCACTACAGCAAAGAGTCCAAAACAACTACAAATTTAGAGGAAAAAAACAAAATTGCTAATAAAAGAACATGATCTATCTAATTGTTAGAATCCCAGGACTCACCAGCTTAATTTTTCCATCAATGTTCAAAATGGGGTTCAACGTATCAAGGCCCTGCATCATTCATTAGCATACCAAGCATTTAGAAAAAAACAAATACAATTGATACAGTGCATTTTTAGAAACGAGAAAAACAAGATTTTCATACCGAAAGAACATAGGGGGCGTTTGGGGGAATAGTAATTTGGTCCGCAACATTATCCAGATCCATCAATATGTACTCTTCTTCATCCAATTCATGATCATGCCTTTGCGTAATGTGTTCCATCACTCCTAATTCTACCTAAAAGGAGAACCCTTTTGAAGCTCCAATTCACTGTCCTCTGTAAGGGGAAAACTCTACTCTTTAAAGAACCCTCAAAAACTCATTGAAAAAATACAATGACATTTTTTATTTAAATCAATGTTTCTACGCCAATTATTGTTGAACCTTGTTTCTTATCCCTTTTAATTTGATACTTTTGAAAATATATAGCTAGGGTAAGTAAGGGCCGATCCCACGAGAAAAGATACACTTTTTATTCATTACTTTTGTCCCTTTTGAAACATCATTTGGAGATGTAGACATGAGACGCTTTTGTTTTTAACTTATGTGTTTGCCTAAAGCGATACTTATAAATTACTTTAGTCATAAGTTAATCATTCCCAAACACCCTCTTACATCATTTATAAATAACTTATACTTTGAGAATAGATTTGTTAATAAACTAATAATACTCGTATAACTGGCTTCAATAGGTTGAGAATGTATGGATAGATACTACCTTTTAGTAGAGTTAGTAGTGTTCAACAAAAATAATACTTGTATAACAAATTTGGGAGGGGAGGAGGGGTGTTTAAAGATAAGTTTAAAAGATGAAACATAAAAACCTAAATATGCACATAGACACACACAACCACAAAAGTTAACCCAAGAACTCAAAGGAGGAAGAAACTCAAAAAAACATACAAGCAATTAAACTTTATGAGACTTAAACAATACTATGTAGTACTTAGACAATTTTGAAATCACTTATACTCCCTCCATCCCTTAAACTCCTTCCCCTTTCTGTTTTTTCTTGTCCCGCTAACTCTTTCCCATATCTATTAAAAAACCACTTTTACCCTTTACTTTTTCATACCCTACCTATCACATCATACCTTTTTATTAATAATCTATCCATCACATCTTACTTTTACCCATCACATTAAGGGTATTTTTGGAAAGTCAACACCAAATTATCCCTCCCTTAATTTCCCAAAAAGTCAATAAGGGAATGACTTTAAGGGACAGAAGGAGTAGTTTTTATTGAAAATAAATTGATCAACAACTGATTCCTCAATTAATCATGCCAAAATGCCGAAACTAAACTGTTGATTAAACTTATGATTAAACTAAAAAACAGTTCCACCTACTTATTTTCCCTCATGTAATGGCCCATGTTAACACTTGCCCTAACTCTAGACCCTACTATTCTTAAGAACCCCTGCCCCAAGTTTAACTAAAAATAGAGCATTAAAGATCATAAGAAAACACCACCTAAAAACTATACGGTAGACTATGACAATTTAACATACTCCGTTAGAGAACCCTTATTAATAAAAATCAATTGGGAGCCAATTACGTATTAATTTGATGACACTGGTATTCAGAAAATATTAGCTATGAACACACTTTAGATTTTAAAACTGTCAATTTGAAATTGTATTAGGCGTGCACTCTTAATTGGTTCTAATCCAAGCATAAATACAAACACTTTCAAACACCTTTTTGAATTTAAAATTAGCATAAAAACTAAAATCTCTTCATAGTCTAATTTTTTAGCACTATTGACTTTGTTACAATGTAAATCTGTTCATGCATATTTCTCAACCCCTTGTTCTAGTTAGAGGCTGTTGTAGGGTATTTTCTTGTAGAAGTTGTATCGCATTTCCTTGTAAAATGGTTTTCCCATACGTTTCAAGCTATTTACTACACTTGTAATAACATTGGCATTTTCAGAATAATATGTCATGTTATTAATAGTGTTGATTGTAATTGGCATTAAGTTCTGAGCTTCATAACTTTGTGAGTATTTATGAAATTTATATCTTTCCAAAATGTAGATGAATTTTTTAGATGACATAGATACATGGGACAAGATTGATAAGAATATGGAAGAAAATGTGACACCGAAAATTGTTGGAAATGAACAGCTACCGAAATATGTAAAAGCTTAAAATTCTAATGAGTACAAAGTTATATTGTACTTGACCAAGAAAGACATAGATGTGATGGAGTGGTCAAATGCCGAAGATGCTTATAAATTTTATCACATATACCAAATGTCATGGTTTAATGATTCGAAGACAAAGTTCGTCATGATGATAGTAATCAAATTAACATGAAAGAGTTCGTACGCAACAAGATAGGATTAAGAAATAAAAAAACATTTAATGAAAAACGACGGGAAAAAGAAGCACATACCTCAATTGCAAAGCAAAGTTGCGAAAAACAAGACAAAATGGAAGGTCTCGTCGTTTTGAAAGTGTCATAATCATCACCTGTGTAAGACAAATTTTGTTCTCTTATTGCCTTCATATCGTGGTTTTATTGATGCGGGCAAAGCTTAAGTTGTTGCACTCACAAGGTGTATTAGAACTTGTCAAAAAATGAGTTATATGACACGTCTCAAAGGTGGGTACATAAGCGTGGAGTTCAATAAAAAAGATTTGTCTAATGATATTGATCAAAAACTCGCTAAAATCAAAGATGGAGATTTCTTAGGACAATAAGCTATCTTCAAGGAAATGCATATATATAATGATATCAAGTTTTATTCGAGATATAAACTTATCGATGATGAAAAAATGAGTTATCTATTTTGGACGGACAACACTAGCAAGAATGATTATCACTGCTTTGAGATGTTATTGCATTTGATAGCACATATAAGAACGAGTATAACAAACCTTTAGTTATACTCTCGAGAAAAAAATCATCATTCCCGAACTATGCTTTTTGGTTGTGTAATTGTTCCTGATGAATCCGTTGAGTCATACAAGTGGGGTTTGAATACTTTTCTTGATGCAATGTGTAATAAGCATCCAATAGAAGTAATGACAGATAGTTTTTCTAATCGCATCTCATCGGTTGTGTGTGTGGCACTTGTCAAAGAACACTTTAGATAATATTGAGAATTTATCATTTCTTAGGAACTTCAAAAGAGCAATCTATGGTAGTTTTACACTTGAATATTTAGAAGAATATTGGAAAAATATGGTTTCAAAATATCAACTTAAAGAAAACAATTGGGTGTCACAAGTCTATAAGAAGAGGCGTATTTTTAGGCTACTGCTTTTTTTTACGAGATAAACTAAGTGCAGGGCTAGGAACTACTCTTTGTGAAGGCATCAATTCTAGAATAGTGATATATGTGAGGAGGAAAAATACTATTATTGAAAAGAGTAGTTCTTTGCCCTGCAAAAAGTTTATCTCGTAAAAAAGCAGTAGTCTAAATACGCCTCTTCTTATAGATGTGTGACACCTAATTGTTTTCATTAAATTGATGTTTAGAAATCGTATTTTCCCAATACTCTTCAAAATATTCAAGCCTAAAATTACCACAGATCGCTCTTTTGAAGTCCCCCAAAATGATAAATCTTCATTATTATTTAAAGCGTTGTTTGACAAGTGTTACACACAGCCGATGAGATGCGTTTGGAAAAACTATCTTGATCGACTTCTTCATTGCACTAACTCCATTTGTCACTACTGCTATTGGATGCTTATTACACGTTGCGTCAAGAAAAATATTCAAACTTCACTTATATGACCTAACGGATACATCAACAACAATAGCACAACCAAAAATCATACTTCTGGAATGCTGATTTTTTTCTCAAGAATATAACTAAAGGTTTGTTATACTTGTTATTCTTATATGTGTTATCTAATGCAGTTACATTTCAAAGCACTAATAATCATACTTACTTGTGTCGTCCGTCCAAAAATAGATGACTCAATTTATCATCGATAACTTTATATTTCGAATAAAACATACAAAGGGCTGAATCTTAGAGGATCGTGGTAACAAGGCCACTCTACCGCTTACAATACCTTGTTGTATATTTAAGTCGTTTGCAAAAAATTCTACTCGCTGATATCATTATCTGCATTTCCTTGAACATAGCTTATTGTCCTAAAGAGATCTCCATCTTTGATTTTAGGGATTTTTGTTGTCCAATATCATTAGACAGATCTTTTTTATTGAACCCGCGCTTATGTACCCACTTTTGAAATGCATCATATAGCCCATCATGTGACTAGTTCTAACATCTTGTGAGTGCAATTATCCGCATCAAGTAAACCACGATATGAAGTAATACGGGAACAAAATTTAGCTTACACAGTTGATTATTATCACACTTTTGAAACAATGAGACCTTCCATTTTGACTTGTTTTTGTCTAGCTGTACACGCAACTTGGCTTTGCAATTCTTGCGTGTGAGAGATTTGTACTCCTTTTTACTGTCGTTGCTCATCAAGTATTTTTTATCCCTTAATCCTATCTTGATTCATACAAAGTCTTTCATGTTAATTTGATTACTATCATCATGACGAACATTGTCTTGAAATCATAAACCATGACATTTGGCATATGTGAAATAAAATTTATAACCATCTTCGGCATTTAAGCACTCTATCATATATAAATCTTTCTTGGTCAAGTCCAATATAAATGTGTACTCATCAGAATTTTAAGCTTCTACATCATTCTGTACTTGTTAATTTCTAACAACTTTTGGTGTCACATTTTCATTTATATTGTCTGTCACTCTAGTCCCAACTATCCATGTCATCTTAAAAAGTCATCTACATTTTGGGAAGAGAAATAAATTTCATAAACACTCACAAAGCAATGGAACTCAGAACTCAAAACTCAATGTGTCCATCATTAGCTTAAGTACCTTATACCTATTGTAAAGAGTGTTTCCATCAAACATACATCTAACAAAACTAATGGAGGAGTCAAGTCAGCAATTGAATATAAAACTACTGCAAGATTAAAAAGTTTTGCATAAACAAAGACTTCGTAATGTGTTTCATGCAAGGGAATCTAACCTAGAGTGCCTTGTTGCATTCATCAAGCAACATTGTGAGCTGATGTACCAACTGAATCACCTGTTCTCACCGATTCAACACCTAACAAACAGTGAGAAATCTAGAAATGAGCCTTAATTGCTTGCAGGCAAGAGTAACTTCCCATAACACCCCATCTTCGAAACTCCTTAGCCAAAAGAGCTTCGTAATATATACAAGATTTGAACAATTAGCTGGTATCAGAAATTATACAAGAGTAATATTTTACACACAAAAAAAAGATATTCAATGATTTTTTTATAGAAAACCGAAGGCCAGATATTAATGCTACCAACTCCATTCATAGCTTAAAACTATACATAACACTTTCATGGTGTAAATCAAACCAACAACAAGCACTAGACATATCTGAAACACAAAAGTGACTCTTCAAAACACAACTATATTCATTCACATAAAAGACATCACTTTTATTTTAGGTAATTGGAATGATCCGGTGTTATTGGAAAAATAGATAGAAGAGGAACCAACTTAATTGGATCAATGGAGAAACTTGAAGAGATGAGCACCGACCTAGGGTTTATACCCTGAGTCTGGAAAGGACAAATCTGGAGATGGCGGCGGAATTTCTCTGATTGATGAAGACGAAATGATAGAAACAGGAAAAGGAAGAAAGGGGATTCGATTTTGCTGTGATGTCCTTGGGAGTTATTGTATTTACCATAGTTCGTTATATGCGGCAAAAGTATAATACGGAAATACGCATGTACGTGTATAATACGTTAAAAATTAATAAAATACATCTTACTATATGTTTCATACATACGAAATACGTATACACATACATACGTGTATTAAATGTTTCCTAAAGTGAGTCTATTCCTCTTCTTTTACCAAGTATACAATTAAATTCATATCAGAATTTATTTATTTTTTGCACAAATACTTCTCCATTACAAATTAATCATGGATAATCATAAAAAAGAGGCCATGATCCATGTATATAATTTCAAATTTATGAGCATAATATTCACATTAATTATTATTTTTTAAATTTAAATTATCAATATCTTGAGATGGGGATAATTAATTATATCAACGAATATCTATGCCAAAAAGTAGAGTAGAAGCTCGCAAAGGCTGCAAGCTTGCCACAACCTCATCCTTTAAAGAACATCACCTTTGCCATTCTGATCTCAAGTGTGACTTAACAATAAATCTAAGCCGTTCATCAATTGGCCGCTTTTATATTTTTTGGGGAAAGATAGCTTCTAACTATGCAATTGAGATTTGAAACTTCGTACTCAAAATAGAAGAAGAAATTAGATGATGAAAATCATGAAATTAGGTTTGGGACTTACGGCTAGTGGCTACTGCTGAGGCGCTGCACTGAATAATCCGTCCCAGATTTGCTGCTGCGCTGACTGATCCGCCGGCAACGAGTAAAATCAGACCGGAGAGGAAGACGAATTGATAGCTGGAACTCTTGTCTGCGGCTGCGGCGGCTCCTCCTGTGTGGACAGCGGCAATTGTTTATGAATCTGAGCCAGGGATTAGGCATCGAGTCTATAAATTGCAGGAGGTTGGAGGAATCAAATATAGATTTCAATTTTATTGCCAAAAAAAAATGTAGATTTCAATTCCATTTAAAAATTGCATGTTCAATTTGCGATAAAAATAGCAGATAAAAAATGCAGAGAAACTGAAATTTAAAAAAACGGAAAAAAGGAGAAGAGATAGGAGGAAGAAGGAGAGACGACATACCTTGTGTGATTAGAATCATATGGTGATGGAATGAAGAGAAAATTTGATGGTTTTGTTTATAGTGAAAAATCTGGGGAAAAGCGAAGAACAAACGGGAAGAAGAATTGAAGGAAGGGTTTTGAAAGCGTCAGTGAGATATGGGCCAAATTGATCCGCCATGGAGTAGCTTTGTTTTCTTTTGGGAATTTCAAAATCTCCCTATTTTATTTCTGAATTCTCTTTTTTTTGGTAATACACGTGAAGCCTTGGAGCTTTAAAACTTTTCTCTGACTTATCAACTTTAACGTGTCTCATAGTTTCACTAGAAATAAATTTGAAGTCTCGTAGGTTCATAATGAGTATTCAAATACTTGCACTCCAAATATGTTAATTGACACTCCACATTTTTCAATCTATTTTCAATTTGATACTTATGCCCTTGTCATTTGTTTTTTCTCGCTCCAATATTAGTACTATAGGCACTAGCTCAATAAATTCAAAAAGCAGAATGTTGCATTTGTAAATTGTAACTAAAGTACGGGCATCAACTTCTTTACTCCCTCCGTTCCTTTAAACTCTTCCACTTTTGATTTTGGGTAAAAATAAGGAAAGTGTAATTTTGATTGACTTTCCAATTTTGCCCCTGATGTGATGGGTAAAAGTAAGATGTGATGGATTGATTATTAGAGAAAAAGTATGATGTGATAGGTAGGGTATGAAAAAGTAGGGGTGAAAGTGGTTTTTTAATAGAAAGTGGAAGTGTTTTAGGGAATTCAAAAAAAACGAAAGGAGAAGGGTTTTGTGGAACGGAGGGAGTAGATTATACTACCCCCGTCCCAGAGTATTTGTCCACTTTCATTTTTACACACCATCCAATGCACTTCTTTAATCCATTTTATCTTGTAATTTGTATATTAAAAAATTATAGAAATTATATATTAATAATCTACTCCCTCCGTTTTTTAAAACACTTCCTCTTTCATTTTTTTCACTTCCAACAAAACACTTCCACTTTCTATTTAAAAACCACTTTTTACTTTTTCATACCATACCTATCACATCATACTTTATCTCTAATAATCTATCCATCATATCTTACTTTTACCTATCACATCAAGGGCAAAATTGGAAGTCAACTACAATTTAATACTTCCTTATTTTTACACAAAGTCAAAATAGGAACATTTTTTCCAAACGGAGGGAGTATATGTTAAGACAAATCAAACAAGATTACACATGACTATATTTATGCTTACACATTAAGAGAATTTGAAGAGTCAAAGTGCTTAGATGAACAGTTCCAAAAGTCAAAAGTGGACGAATATAGCGGGACGGAGGGAGTAACAATATTTTGTAGGGCTTACAACCACAGGTTAGAGCTTTGGTTGGATCAGATTTCTAACATAATATCATAGAAGAAATCATGCTAAATATAAGTAAAACATAGAGAAAGTATCAAAATAAGAGTTTTATGTTTTTATTTTTAAAATAGATATTACAGTATATGAATATTTACACTACTTTTTGGTATTATATATTGACATAATTGACATAGCATATGTATTTTAACTCCTACTTTTGGAATAAAAATATGAAACTTCTATTTTAGTATATTTTATATAATTTACTCTTACTTTAATCATTTTTATATATCATAGTCTTAACACTTAGATGTGTTAATAATTCTTAAAATACAATTGGAACAACACACCAAATATCCTAGTACTACCTCCATCTAAAATTGAATTTCTAATTACTATTCTGTATTTCAGGAGTTAAACGCTATCTACTTTGTTTACTTATTTAAACTATCATTTTTAAAATATAAAATTGTCATGTCACATCTTGTTTTGTAAGTTTTTCATTATTTTTTAAAAATCAAAACTTATTTTTAAATTGGGTTAAATGTGTTTTTGGTCCTTGTAAAATTAGAGAATTGGGGTTTTTGGTCCCTCCAAAATTTTTTTACCAATTCGTCCTTATAAAATAATTATTTTTGCAAAAGTTGTCCTCCCCTAAGTTAAATATTTGTTTTGATCCTTGTAAAATTTATAAATTTTACTTTTACTCCCTTTAAAATTCTTTTTGTTGGTTCAATTCTATTTTTAAATTATTCAATAATCATTCACGATTATCTTATTCTTTTTATTAAGTATTTATATAATTACAAGGTCAAACTCAATGAACTATTTTTAAATACTTAATCGAATAACTACATTTTAAAAAAATCATTTATAAATTTGCTAAATTAATACTCCGTACTACTTTAGTTTTTAGGAAAAAAACTGTTGATATATTAACACAAAATTTATTTTTATTGTAATTTTTAGTATAATTTGTGAAATTCATTATCTTTTAGCGAAATTCTTACACTCACCATCTCAGATGATTTTTTCAATTTTTAGGGTGACTATTTAATTATGTAATGATAGTAAAGAAATTTATTAAAAATGACCTCGTTATTAATTTAGTTAAAGAGTTTTTATTTAAAAAATTACTTTAAAAAATTTTAAACAAATATTCAGTAGCATACTTATTCGACTAAGCTATGAAAAATATTTCAATAACTTTGACATTGTAATTAAGCTTATCTTGACAAAAAAAAGTTATTATTGTACAAACTATCACGTAGTAAATAAATTTAAAAAGAGTAGAAAGAATGTACAAAAGACTTGAGAGGAACTAAAAACAAAATTTATAACTTTTACAAGGATTAAAATATATATTTAAATTAGCAGAGGACTAATTACAAAAATAATGAATTGGAATTTACAGAGACGATTTAATTTTTAAAAATATTTTGGAGGGACCAAAAGTAAAGCGTATCAATTTTACAAAGACAAAAAATGTAATTAATACTTTTAAATTTTACTTTTACAATAAAACAAGTTGAATAGCAAGTAAAGCCAATCAACTAACCATCATAATCTGCAATGGGTAATTCAAATTGAGATGGATTGAGTATGTTCTCCAACTCTGATTGGTCATCCAAATGATTTGACCAAGATTGAACATTGTATTCATCTTTAAATTTTTAAAAAATTTAAAAATATAAGAAAAAGATTTTAAAAAATTGCAAGGTAAAGATGAAAGGATTGTGAAGCACTACAAAGTACTACAGAGTAGTTTTATTTGTTGATTTCAAAAAGCGCTACTATTAGAGAGCCAAAAAAATAAATGAAAAGGGTATTGGTGTCAAAGAGATAGAGAAGTGTGGAGTACCATTAACATATTTGGAGTGTAGATATCAATTGCCTTTTTTAGTAGGGGTATAATTGATATTTTTTATAAGAAAATGGGTTAGTAATTAATTTTTTAATGGGGTTTATTTTGTATACTATTTCCTCGTATTTCATTTCTTGATATATTTTCATTGCTGAGATTTATTTAAACAAAATAATATCGGTACCTCTTAACTTCTCGATCCTAAAAACTCTTTCTCGATCATTTAATTTTTTTAGTCAAGCAGCGACATTTTTTATCACAAATTTTGAGTAAAAAGTATGTTGAATTATAACATAAATTCATTGTAATTAGTTCATCTTAAGATATGGTTTTGATATATCCAATTTTTATAACATTTATTTATTTATATTATATTTAATTTTGGTCAAAGAGTTTTATTGTTTGAATAAAAAATCAAAATAAGAATATTTTATAGAACCGGAGGGAGTATATTATAAATTTTATAGGTATCTAAATTTTTCTTTTAATAGTATTGGCATCTCTTATTCTATAATCTGTAAAATTTAAAAAAAAAGTTTTTAAGTATCTAAATTTTATTTTTTAATCTTTATATTAACAAATACTTCTCCGTCCCAATTTATAGTGTTTGTTCACTATTCAAAGGGTAAAATTTAATTAACTTTCTTTGTCTATTTTTGTTAACAATTTGATAAAATAAAGTACTACTGTCAGTATTAGTTTTGTAAATCTTTTGATGTAGTATTTTAATATGTAATTTTCTTTAACTATATACCATTTGTCATATAAAACAACTTGAAAATAATTTCAGCCAAAAATCGTAAACCGAAACAGGCACTATAAATTAAAACGGAAGGAGTAGTAAATAGATTTCAAAAAAATGAAGTGAAAATAATTTCAATAAAAATCATAAAATAATAAAGCTAGAAGATGCAGGGACAACATAGTTTCTCAGTGCGATTGGGAAACTTTTTGAAACTTTTTTAGCTTAAAGAGTGCTTCTTTGTTCCACTTTAATTTGGATGTATACCATTTTTTATAGATTTTTTCATATGAAAATTTTTTATTTTTTTATATTAAAAAAATAGATACTTATTTAATTAGTAAGTCTATTGTAGATCTTAGACCCACCACCGAATTTGTCTACCTTAAAAAGAGATTTCTTGCAAGAAACACAAATTTCCAAATCTGGTTGCCCCAGCCTTTTCCATTTATGTGGGAAGAAACCCTCTAAAATATTGCGGTAATAAACAAGACTTCTTTTTTGTTATGATCTCTAGCTCTAAAAAGGATTTAGTTTTTGGCAAGACGTGTGATGTTTTAATTAAATAAATTGTTTAACATGAGTATAATTTTTTTTTAATTATCACTCTGATTCTGCAATTTACACCGTGCAATGGACTCTACGGCGTTTCTGGTCCCAGCTACGGTCAAATACTTATTTTCGTGTAATAGTAATGGGCATGCTTGGGGAACAGCTTTAGAGATTAACATTAGCGTTTTGAAAAAGTTATCTACGGATATCGTTTAGTGTTAGCATTTTCAAAGTAATCTGCACCGTTGAATTCTTTTTCCAAAACGCCAACGTTAATCTCTAATGTTATTCCCAAACGCTAATCAGACCAATTGATTTACCCATTAATTATTGCTCTATCGAGTTGGGATGTGAGGGCGCCCGAAGTGGGCGTTCCACTTATTTATTTAATCTAAAGTCGAGAGTTTTGGGAAAATAGAGTATGAATAGTTTAGAGTAAATTTCATAAATAATCCTTTATACTATTTGATTTTTCATATTTAATCCTTAATTTTAAGATATTATATTCATGGTCTTCAATTTCCGAAAACTATTCCATAGTCATTAATTTAGAGACTATATGTGAAAAAAAATATTTAGTCATATTTGCTCTAAGAAACTAATTGCTGAAAAGTTTTTAAAAATTGAGGATCATGAATATACGCAATATGTTAAGAATTGTGGATTAAATATAAAAAATTACTACGTATCTACTATACAAAGATGAAATTTACTGAATAATTTAAAAAAGAGAAATTATATTGTTGAATAAAAAAAACTCTGGCTAGCTAGGAAATGTCCTTTCATATCTTCCGCCATAGCTCCGTTGACAAGAAAACACTGAAAAACTGAAATGATAGATGTCTTGTAGCTCTCACTCCCATAGTCCCATTCAATTTCCCCTTTCTTTAAAACAAGAAACCCTAAGCAACCAAAGAGTAAAAGAGGACAAAGTGATATAGATGAAGTAAAAGCACACTAATTTGACTCTTTTAGTTTTTTGACTGCAAAAATATATTTTTAATTATAGTGTAAATTTAATATAAATAGATTTTTTAAAATGTACCCCGTAGTTTTGACACAGGAAGTAGTATTATATACTTCCTCCGGTCCTAAAAACATGAGAGTAATTGATTTTAAATAGATTTAAGAGAAGCGTATTTTGGTATTGAATTTCCAAAAAAAGTTTTTTGACGTGATGGGTAAAAATAGAATTTGATGGGTAGATTATTAGTAAAAAGATATGATGTGACAGGTAGTGTATGAAAAAATAAGAAGTAAAAGTGATGACTTTTTAATAGAAATAAGAAGTGTTTTAGGGACGGATAAAAAAACAAATGAGAAAGGTTTTCAGGGACGGAAGGAGTATATAATTTGTAGAACATTTATTTATTCAAATAGGGATCAAGACCAAAGTAGAAATAAAATATTAAAAATATACCAAGATAGGAGTGTTCCATTTTTTTAATTTTTGAAATAGGAGTTAAAATGACCATATACATTACCAAAAAAGATTATGAAATATCCTTATACAGTGTCTGAGTGTCACATTATCTTAGTGCAAATTTCTATTCTTGGATAAAAACATATAGTTCCTATGTTAGTATTTTCTCTATGTTTTACTATTATTTAGGCTCTCTTCTTTTGAGTTGAAAAAGTTAACTTTCAATTTCTTCCAACTCTTTTCAATTTCTCCCAACAACTTAAAAAATATATTTATATATGATGAATATACAATAGCAGTATATATCCAAATTTTTAACATATAATCTCAAACGCAAGCAATGAAGAATTCTTTTTTATACAAAATTAAAGTTTTTTAAATATTTTTTTGGGTGACCATTTAAATGAATAACTTTTTACTCTCTTCGTCCCAATTTATAGTGCGTGTTTCGGTTTACAATGTTTGATTGAAATTATTTTCAAATTATTTTATATGACAAATGGTATAGAGTTAAAAAACAAAAACTAAATTTTAAAATACAAATCAAAAGATCTATAAAACTAGTAGTGACAATAATATTTTATTTTATCAAATTATTAACGAAAATAGATAAATAAAATGAATAAATTGGTTTGATCCTGTGAATAGTGAACATGCATTATAATTTGGGACGGAGACAGTAATTCTTAAATTTTTCTTACCTTTTCCAACTCTTTTCAATTTCTTACAACATTTAACTCTAAAATTCCAATATAAAAGAACATAGCCTTAGGATAATTTTTTTTAATCAGCCCAAGAAATTGTGGGCAAAGTTATTAGTGGTAAAATAGTATCCCAGATCTTTACGTGGGAGCACAAAAATTTAGGGCAAAATTGTCCAAATAGTTTCAAAACAATTTGCTTTAAAAAAAGTTCAAAACAATTTCCACAAATGGAGGGTGGAAAGAATACAATAATGTCAATAAGATAGTCCAAAAATCAAAAATTACGGAGCTCTCCGTATAATAAAATTAATTACTTCTACATTTCAATTGAATAAAATTTAAGAAAAATGTTAAAAAATAAAAGAATTAAAATTTACTCCGTATCTAGGTAATAGAAAACTTTTGTGAAGCATATATATGTTCATTTATTTAACGAAAATTAATGCTAATTAGTATTTTAAACTTTTAAATGAATGCTCCAAGATTATATAATACGTCATGAAAATTTTAATTGTACTTGAATATAATCCACTGTTTTTTCATAAGTATATGTGATCAATTTACAATTGTGAAATACTCCCTCCGTCCCAAAAAGAATGGGACGGTTTGACTTTTTGGAAAATTAAGGGAGGGATATTTTGGTATTGACTTTCCAAAAATACCCTTGATGTGATGGGTAAAAGTAGGATGTGATGGGTAGATTATTAGGAAAAAGGTATGATGTGATAGATAGGGTATGAAAAAGTAAGGGGTAAAAGTGGTTTTTTAATAGAAATGTAACGGACTTTACGGGACGCAATTTTTTCTAAACGTAACAAACTTTTTGGGACGGAGGGAGTAATTGTGTATAAATATTTTATTTTTTTAGAGCGCCGATGATAGTTAACTAGTTTTGAAGTATTTGCACAAACTATCAATTTTAGAGTGTTAGAATGAAACTTCGTCTAAAAAATAAAAAAAAGACAATTAACCCTTATACTCCATAATACTCCGACACAGATCACTTTTGTTTTCCCTGCGTTGTAGGTAACCAATTTGCTTTATATACATTACACCCTCATCTTCTAGCTCCAAACTAGAAACCATTGTACTCATCCGTCATCACCACTTCCAAATAACTTTCCAAAACCAACCTTTTTAAAACCTCCAAAATGGAACCTTTCCACTCCCCAGCTGGAAATCCCTACCCATACTATGGCCTTCCCACCACAGTGATGACGAGCTTCTGTAGGACACCCACAAGTCCCATTCCCAGCCCTTGTAAGGCAATGGACCCTAGAATCTGGGGCAGCCTCCCCCACAAGCTCATTGACAGGGTACTCGTCTTCCTCCCGCCGTCGGCCTTCTTCCGGTCGCGGTCGGTCTGCAAGAGATGGTATTCCCTCCTCTTCTCCTCCAAGTTTCTTGAAATGTATTTGCAGGTTTCCCCAGACTGCCATTGGTTCGTGTTCTTCAAGCACAAGGGCTTGAAGCCCTACATTTGTAGGGGTGGTGCCAATGATGACTCCGAGACGCCGCATGAAGGGTACTTGTTTGACCCTCGCTCGTTGGCATGGTACCGCCTCTCGTTCCCTTCGGTCCCGAGGGGGTTTTCTCCCGTCACGTCGTCCGGGGGCCTGATCGGATGGGTCTCGGACGACGCGGGCCCGAAGAACATTCTTTTATCCAACCCCCTCGTGGGGTCGTCGGTGGTCCCCATCGCCCCCACTCTGAGGCCGAGGCTCTTCCCGAGCATCGGGTCCCACATCACCAGGTTTTCGATAGACCTCGTGGTGGCAGGGGACGACCTGACGTCCCAGTACGCGGTCAAGAACCTGACGGCGGAGAGCTTCCACGTGGACGCCGGCGGGTCCTACTCCATGTGGGGCACCGCCGCCCCGCTCCCGAGGCTCTGCAGCTTCGAGCCGGCGGGGACCACGGTGTACGCCGGGGGGAGGTTCTACTGCATGAACTCCGGCCCCTTCGGCGTGCTCTCGTACGACGTTTCGTCGAACGCATGGTGCAAGATCCAAGCCCCGATGAGGCGGTTTCTGCGGTCCCCGAACTTGGTGGCGGCGGGCGGCGGCGGCGGCGGGAAGGAGGTGGTCATGATGGTGGCGGCGGTGGAGAAGAGGAAGCTGAGCGTGCCGAGGAGTCTGAGGATGTGGGCCCTGCGGGAGTGCGGGACCACGTGGGCGGAGACCGAGAAAATGCCGCAAGATCTGTACATTCAGTTCGCGGAAATGGAGGGCGGGAAGGGGTTCCACTGCGCGGGCCACGGGGACTTCGTGGTGATAACGGCGAAGAACTCGGCGGCGGCGGTGATGTTTGACTTGTGCGCCATGAAGTGGGCGTGGGTCCCTCCTTGCCCGTTTGTTCGGCAAGATCTGCCGCCGTGTGGCGGCGGCGGAGAGCTGCGTGGGTTTGCTTACGAGCCGAGACTGGCGACGCCGGTAACCGCACTGCTTGATCACTTTACACTTCCGTTTTGAGTGTGTAGTACTCTGTTGCTTGCTTTTGGGGATTTGATTAATTATTACTACTCCATATAAGGATTTTACTATTATTAATTAGTGAATTTTGCACTAAATTTCTCTTATTATTATTATTATTATTATTATGCGTTTATAATTTCTTTTGACTATTTGGACTATGGAGTTAGTCATTTAAACTGATCTGAATATAGTTATATTTAAAATTGTTTTTGATCTGATCTGAGTTGAACTGATTTCAATTAACTTAAAAAAGTGATAAGTAAAAAGAATATGTTGAAGATAACATGACATACTTCAAATGTTTCTATCACTCCCTTTGTCGGGAAAAGTAGTTCCGTTTTTTGACACATTTAAGGAGCGGAGCATATAATTTAGAGTAAATTACTCAAATAGGAGTAAAAAAGAGTAGTTTTCCCTAAATAGGAGTAGTCCTATTTGCACTAACGTTTGGTGAGGAGAATGGACAAAATTGACCCTGACATCCATTTTATACTCTACTAACCATATATCCCATTATCTCGCACCACATCCTAAATTTATGGGAATGACAAACAGTATAAAAGGAAGGAATTCTAATTGTAATTGAAATTGGTGGCATACATTATGATATAGAGTCGGACTTTTTTTCTAAATTGAGATTTCATCTTCTTGTTTTATTCTTCTTTTTTGTGAAAAATAGGGTTAGAGATTTTGAAATTAAATATTACGGAGTGCATTCCCAATTTTGGTTAATAATTGATCATTACGAAGTAAAATCTGAAAATTTTTTATATTATTATTTTATTTACAAATTGGTACATCAATAAAAAATAAAAATTATATATATTTAAAAAGTACGTTAAAAGTTCTATAAAACAAGAATGTAAAAAAAGCATTTTAATTTATAGAATAAATTAAAATATACAAATATATCAAAGATTTTTAGAGGTGAGAAATTTTTTTAATCAAAATTGGAATGGAGAGTATTAAGTATAGTATAAACAATGTCCATTGAAATTGGACATTAGTTGAGACTTGAGAGTATATCAGTGGACATTAATTGCTACAATGTCCCACAAATATATATGGGCATTAAAGCAATA